AATGGCAAAGACCTTTCAATGAAATTTTGCAAATTATGATAATTTTAAATTAGAAAATGGAACTCAAACTCCTTAAATTAAGGGTCTTTCCCTGTTATAATAATGACATTTAGTAACAATTATTTATATCAAAAAGTAGTTTTTAGTCGTTTGAATCGGAGCGTTGAATTTATGTCACAACTAAAAGTTTTATTTAAATTTAAAATTGAAGTTCTTTGAACAAAACTTTGGGCTTTGCCACAAATTGGATTATGTATAAGTAGAATTTGCATGGCAATTTAAGGTTGAGCATTTGCAAAATGAATCACGGTCTCGAGGCGGTTTTGTGCCCGGCGGTTTGTATCTCTCGAGGGAAGCTGGGAATTGCAAGAAGAGCCCAAATTGGCCGCCTGCGGGGCCGCCGCGGCCATAAATAAACGGGCCCTGTTATGAATGGCCTCCGCGCTTCTTGCATATTTTAAAGAAGAAATTCTCCTCGAGTGTAACAAATGTGAGAAGTTTAATTTTATTTCCTATAAAAAAAGAGTTGAGCATGATTATATGTAAAGGAGACACAAAAAGAAGTTCAATTACAAAGCTAGTAATTCTTTAATATTTTAGATTCAGAAAAAATACAAAAATTTTTATATTCATTGTTTTCATGAAAAGATCGTTAACAAATATGCAAATTGTTGGTTTATTTACGAATAAACCAACCTGATTGGGCTGAAAAGCGACGAATCAAATTGGTCAATCATCCTCGTCGCATGCATTTGGCAATCGAAAACGGTTTTTGTCCTTGGCGCGGACAAATTGCCAGCGATGCGAATTCAAAAATTTGTGTATTTTTCCGAGCCATCTGTTATTGGCAAATAATGAGAGGCCGGATCGATTTGTTTTCCGTTCGAACAAACAAAAACTGCAAAACAAGACCGGTTTTTCATCGCGAATATCGCGATATAATCAAACGTGAATTCAATTATAAATCAAACAAAAACTTGAATTGTGGCGGGCGAAAAATGGCAAGATTGATTTATCGTGTTTTTGCTTTTTTTCTGCGCAGAGATAGGAATGGAAAAGAGGTCAAAGCGCCTCTTCGGCGGTAAACAAGCGTGGCCTAATCTCGACCAAAGTGTCGAGCCGGCTTATTTGCACAAACACCAAACAATAATCCTTCTTTCCAGGCGATTGACGCCGATTCCTGCAAACTTATTGATCCTCCTCATTAATTTTCGGTTCCGATACGGCTGCGAAATTACAGTTTTATAAGACTCATCTTTTGATTCATATTATATTCAAATTAAAAAAGAAAGTTTAGAATAAAAAAAACCAAATTAAAATTCAGGATGTGTAATTTAATTTAAACGCTCGCCATAAGTGAAAGAAATCTTTGAAGATTGAAAATATAAAATGATGTATTTAAAAAAAAAAGTTATCTTCAGTTTTATCCATTTTTTTTTTTAATTTAAGCAAAATTAAATTATCAGACCAAAAATCTTCTTCTCTTTCTAAAGCTTCAAAATTCCAACTGAAACTGCACAAATGACCTTTCTTTTTTTGGAAGATCGAATCGGTTTTGCGTGGGTTGGGGAAATTTTCGTTGCTTCGCAGACTGAGGGGTGAAATTGCAGGTTGATTTCATCTCGCATGAGCTCAAAAGTTTTATCCCCGAGTTCATCTAAAAGCACGGATTCCTTTTTTCCCATTCAGCTGCCGCGGGGCGATTGGAAAACTTTGCGAAAAGTCCTGTTTATTTTTATTTTTTCTCTCTCCGCAAATGCAAAAATTATGCGCTCATTTTTCCGCTTGATTGGCCAACCGAGATTTTCCTTGCAGAAAAGCATGAAAGCAAAACACTGATGGCGGTCTTCGTGTTTTACTCAAAATAAGGACAAACATTTGCATAAAAAAACCTCTTTTATCTGATGAATTTCGTTTCGGTAGAGCTTTGACGTTTATTTTCAGAGATTAAATGCAAATTAATGAACGCAGTCGCTGTTTTCCGAAGCAACAGCTGGCGGGGCATCCTTGTTAATCGATTAAATTGCAACTTCCCGCCTAGTCAATTTCGCCAGCCAGGTCGTTGAATTTGAGTGGAAATTGCAGACGAATCGCATCAAATTTTATCCTCCTCCCTATAAATTTCGAGCTTCATTCTGGAACCGCAATTCAATTCAATTGTTATTACTTTTTTTGATAAAAGAATTTACTCAAAACTACTCCACGATTCTTTTCACAACAATGTCAGAGGAATATGGAGTCGTAAAAAATGAAGATTTTTTGCTCTGAAATTGGTTCTCTAATTCAATAATTTAGTATTGAAAATTTTGCGCGTCTCCCTGATTGGAAATTAGATCCAAAGCATAAAAAAGTGAACAAATGGTGTGTCTTGTTTGTCTTGGTTTTCAGAAAAGCAGAAAGTTTTGAGACAAAATTTGGTTTTTAAATTATTGATCGGTCCTGCATAAATATTGAGAGCCTTTTTCGTTTTCTCTGCAGCCATTATTTTCGAATTTATTTTTATTTGCCCCAGCGTACGTTTACAGAGACTGCTGGATTAGGCGAAATTAGATTTGCTAGCACGTCTCTTTTTTTCATGCGAGTCTCTTCAAATGTTGATCAGAGCGAAGGTCGCGAGATGCAAAATTGAATCGCAAATATTGATAAGCCAAGTTCAATTTCCTCTTTTATGTCAGTCATCAAAAAACTAAGAAAAACGAGAGAAAGTAAAAACTCTGATCAAGTTCTTTAAAATATATTTCATCTCTTATTTCTCAAGTAAATTCGGCTCATATTAAATGTGTGTGAAAAAAATTGTATTATTTTATAAATTTGTACCGAATTTTACTCTGTTTTATTTCGGAAAAGAAATTTATTCCGAGAGTGTGCGCATATTGCAGGGGGTAATTTGGAATGCGAAAATGTGAGGTCGTTAGCAGGGGTGGCGCGCAACAAAACCACAACCTGCGCTTCTCCGGGCGGGCTGAATAAATTTGGCTCTGTCTCGTCTTTCATTCATGTGCTTTTCAAAATTTGACGATTCAGATTACTGCGATATTTTTATATCTTCTTCCAGCCGATGTGCAATTTTAATTTTTCATCAATTTTTTCTAGACTTTTTAATTTATTATTTTGTAAATGTTTCTTGTAAATCAGAATTGTTTTGAAAAATTAAAGCATTGTGAATCCTTTTATTGTATTTTCAATAGCTTAAAATAAACGAATCACGCAAAAAAATTTGGGATTTCTGTAAAAAATTGTTGACAGTAATTGTCGCTTTTTTGGCGGTTTATATTTATGGAAGTTTTTTTTTACTGCATTTTATATTCCATTTTTATTTTGTCCATGCGCAAAGAAAGCTTGTTTCTGAAATTTGCGCATAAATTATCTAGTCTCTCTTGCCACGTTTGAGCCACTCAATTATAATGCAGCGGCAAGAGGGTGGATCAGGGGTTGTTGCTCAAAGTGAAATATTTCCTCTCATCCCCAAATAATTGCGCTTGCGAGAAAAATGAGGAGGGTGAGGCAAGACAAGTTCAATATAATTTATTCCAGGCGCAGTCAAAATTAGCAGCTTGTAAAATCTTGAATCTCACCGCCTGTAGAATGCAATTCGCGTCTCACAATTTGCAGCTCTCGCCATAAAATCAAATTTTGTTTGCACATCGAATCCACTTTGAGGAATTTTTCAAACTTTGTTTGCTCTCGACGCAAGTAAAAATAAAACGGCGAGGAAAGGCATAAATTAGGGCTGGTTTCAAAGAGTAATAAAAATCAAAGGCAGCGGGAAAATTAACATGTGAAAGGTTTCGCAACCCTTGTTGACGCGAGCCAATCGCAAGAGGCCGAGAGAGTAAAAACGTGAAAATAATAATAAGTATGAAGAAATTGCAGCGCTCAACGAAATTCCCCCCCCCCCCCCCCCCCGACGAACACAAGTTTGCGAAAAAAAGACTATTGGGACCAAAAAATGTTTCCAAGTGGAAATAAAGTGATCGGGGAATTGATCCGACCCAAAATTCAATGCTTCGATGGCAAAAGAAAGTTGATGCGGGAGAAACTTTTAAGATGGAAACGTGATCCTGATTTGGATTAAATATGCATGAATGAGTCAGGGCCTTTGACAAACGGAAAAAGAAATTTCAAAAATAAAGCTTATATTTAGTATGAATTAAATCTCCGTAAATTTCTTCAAAAAATTTTAATGATCATTGTTTTGTGTGAATTTTTTAAGAGTGTTTTCAGAAGAAATCCGTTGTGATGATTTCCTATAAGAATTAAGCATTAATGCAATTTGTCAATTTCATGCAATGCTATTGTTTTTTTTTAAATTCAAAATAAAATTTTAATAAAACAACACAATTGGGCTTTGTTAGTCCAAACAATACTACCACCAATTTTGAAAATTTTGGGATTTTTGTATTCATAAATTAAATTCAAGCTGGATGTGTTACTTATTATAAAACAACATCGTCGTACAATATATAAAAAAAGGATTTAGTATAAAAGCTTATGCGCCCTTCTCAACACGAAATCCTGCGGCCCCGGCCGACTTCAGCAAAAAACAACCCTTCAATAGCAGGTCCCAGTGTGGGAAATCACTGATTTACCCCAATCAAAAGGCCTGTCCAGAGGGAGATTAGATCCGTGGTTTCACACATCACGAGCCAAGTTCACGCTCCGCTCAGCCACTGGAAAATATTATTAAGTTATCATTGGCTAAGAATGTGCAGAGCCAATTCCATTCTAATGTAGCCAACTTTTCAAAAACAACTACGATTTACAATTGTTCCGCTCTTTAAATGAAATATTTGATTATATTCTATATTTCTAAACCAATAATTGAAGTTTCAGATACCAGAATTACATAATCAAAGTCAACCGAAACTTTCTCAGTGTACGTTTGGAAGTGAAACTTTGTTTGGTTGGTAGTTGGTGCTGCCACCTGTGCCGATTTGCCAAATTTTGGCTCGCATGTTCGGTTCGGTTTGGTCTCTACTGTTGTGCTTCTAAGCTGAAATTAATTTTTTAAGGACTTATTAGGTCAAGTGAGTGTCGTTTTCGGGCCGAGACCTTTCGCCGGGAGCATCTGAGATTCCAAAAAAACGGCCCGAGTTGGATTTTCGGCTTGAAAACTGTCCCAATCGACCAAAATCTTGCGCCCCGGGTACATATATGCATGAACTTGGCGATTTTTGTTTTAAAATAGAGACTAATGCTTTTTAATTTCGTTCAACTCCAATTAGGAAGGCCAAAGGACCTCAGGCGTGAGTGGAAGGTCGGCCAGGCTGGGCCAGACAAGGCCAGGCGTCCTTTTTTCTGAGAATCGTCGCCATTTGAACAATTGAGCCGTCTTGTGGTGCGGTAATGTTTATGCTTTTTACAGGTTAATGCTTGAAACTAATGAGATTTTTGCTTATTTACTATTGAAACAATTGTCTGAATTAATAAATCTTCCTGCAGGAAATCGGTGCCGAGGACGGCCTGAGAGGCTTTTAGCATTCCGGAAGTTTCTGCGGACGCACAGATTGAATGCCCTTGTGGAGAAAAGGGTCATTGCTTCTATCACTTGGAGAGAGTTGACCTCTGTGTCGGGTCCTTCCAGGGCCACGCAGCCTTTTACATTCAGGGCTGAGACCTTTTTGTGCCCACCCTGGCCTTCGAAGAGGACAATTCGAACAGCAAAGGTTTCTTGTTACGCAAATTTTCTAAGCTAGCTTTAGAGACTTTTCCTAAAAAGTCAAAAGTTCTAAGAAAACATTAAACAATTAAATTAATTCATTATCGAAATAATCAAAATTAAATAAACTTAAAAATTTCAGTCAGTGGTGCCGAGGCCAGTCCGCAAAGAATCTAAAATCAAAGGGACCGTTTTCATTAATTTGATCATCATCGGGGGTCACCCTGGTCAAGACCAGCCAGCGCAGACCTTCCATAAGGTCAGTGATTGATACCTTTATTTTTTTTAACAAAATTTTCTGCATTTTGACTTTCTCACAAACACCGATGATTTCTCTTTCATTTCAACGTTTTGCATTTCAAAGCGGATTAATTCAAGCGCTACTTAAATTAAATTTAGGATCTCCGTCGTCAATCTCTGTTTTTAAATTTTCAGCCAAATTAGAATAAAGTTTTTTCCGCGGTGAAAGAGATTTGTTTGCCTCTTTGTCGTCGTTTTGGCTTGTTGAGCTGCCGGAATTTTAATTGCCCGCGCTGGCGAAAAGAAAAGGTGCAAAAACACGCTTTGTTAGCAGCGAGACGACCGCTTTGCATGCAAATCAGCCCAAAATAAATTGCTCTTGAATAATTTATTCAGCGCTTTTAAGAGGCGTCAAAACACGAGATAAATTAATCAACAAGAAATTGAGAGAAGATTTTTGATTGAAAGGATTTTTCAAATCAACACACCATTCGAACGCATTTGAAGAAATCGCAAGTCAAAGGAATAAAATTTTAAATTTCCCATCTTTTTGAAAGGGCAATTTTTAGCAAAAGAAAAGACCTGGAAAATTTAAAATTGAAAAGTTGAATTTAATTTAAATTTTACTTGAAAACTCTCTTGTGAAATAATTGAATTTAACCCTTTCCGAAGTTATTATTGATTCAAATTTTTTAGGAAAACGACGGAAAATATATGTTTGCTAATTACCATTTAATTGACTTGGATGTGAAATCCAGCGTTTGAAATTAACTCACTAAACTGAATAGCCCTAAGTGAAAATACATTTTTCCCTCTCTCTTGAACTTTGCATGTTGGAAAAGCGATCGAAGTGAACGAACGGCAGGGGTGTTGGCTGCTGCAATCCATCTCAGTCTCATTGTTCCGAGGCAAACAATGGGGCTCTGCAACAATTTCGGTGGCAATGCACGGCTCGATGGACCGAAAGCTCCGATGCATTTGTTTTGTTTGCAACGCCAACTGCGCCCCAACAACAACAACAACAACATCATTAACATGCATTCACGGCTCACAACGTGTCCCAAATCCAAATTAATTCAGGCCTCACTTGTAGCGAAATTTATTTGCAATGATTTTTAAACACAATTATTCATCCCGATAGTGACTTAATTTTCTCGCACACAAAATAGATCTTTTTTAATTTGAAGATTAGTAGAATTGCGGATTCATCAACAACCGTTATGAATTTATATTCGTGCAACATATCAATTCGTGTATAACAATTAAAAGTTTTTTTTTATCTTAATAAAAGTTGTTTTGGCTTTTTCAATTGAAATTTATTATTTATGATTGATAAGCTTACGATTTATTGCACCACAAGTTATTTGTAAAGCGACTGAATTGTATAATATATGATTAGGAAACAAACTTGAATCGTTGAATGACCTAAATTTTTTCTGCTATGGTTTTTATTAATTAAAGTGAGATTTGAGAGAAATTCCGTCAAGTAATTTAAATTTGGAAGGAAAACTCAGAATTTACGTCCAAAAAATAAAATGCAACTTTTCTCCAGTCATTGTCAATTTTATCTCTTTACATTTATTTCTAGTTTTTGAAGATTTTTGTGCAAAATGAAAGTAGGTAATTAATTTTATCTTGTTAAAGTGTGTTTGGCGAAGGAAAAGTAAAACGACTCGGGTCAAATTCAGTTGTCCGTTTTTTTTTGAGCGCTAACTTTGCAGAAAATAGAGCTACTTGCGGATCCATAGCACGTCGTGCTAAGTTTGGCCTCAATTTTTTTTCAATGTGCGAAACAGAAGAAGTTTTAAGGAGAATGAAACAAGAGCGGGCGGGCAATAACGAGGAGGAGTTTTGGACAAAAAAGGAAGTGTTTTGAAATGAGAGCCGCCTTAACTTTCAAGTAAAAATAATTATTTTTCTTTTCGTTTTATTGGAAATGAAATATTTAATAAAAAAATTCAGAGATAAAACAGTGAATATGTAATAATTTCATAAAATTTACATATTTGAGGAAAGTGGGGTGAACAAACAGAAATGCAGTCGTTGCGATTTTGACCTAGATTTTGTTAAATAGGGCGCGTGAATAATTGCCAAGTGTTTGTTCAAAGTTGGTTGCGGCTGAAAATCGAATATTTCGCTCTCTGCGAATTCACGAAGTTTGCATTTCGTTCGGAGAAAATTCTGTGTCGATCGCATTTGAATTTGAAGCTTTGGTGGTTTGCAGACAAAAGGCCTCGAGTGCTGCGCAAACAAAATCAACTGCAGGTATTTTCCACTTTAATTAATCAAGCCTTTTGCAGCCGCCGCACTCCAACAACCCTTTCTGCACTTTTTTCATTCTAAAGTGGCCGCCATTATGAATCGGATTCGATCAATTTGAATTCTATAAACGAGATCTAATCGTGTTGAAAACTGGCTCGAGAAAAGTACGCAACCGCTGAAAACAACATTTTTGTTAGTAAAGAAATCGACCAAATATTTTGTCTTTACTTCAATTTAGGGTTGAAACATAGATTAAAACTATTTCATTTTATTGTTAAATTTAAAAATGAATTTGTATCTTTTTAAATTATCGATGAGATTAAGTAAAAGATACAAGAAAATTTTAGTCAAACCATAAATTATTATTGAACAAGCAATAGTGATTCAGTTATTTTCCAGCGTGCAGGTTTATTATTTCAAATTGTTAATTTCTCAATCTTCCAACCTTCCTATGAATTTTAAACTTGAAATAGCTTTAAAAATTATATAATTTAATAATAATTAAAGCTTCTAAAAGATCCCCTTTTGAAGTTTTCCTTTACAAATGTTTAAACAGAAGAAGCTCAATTTTTAAGCATGATAAAATATTTTTTATTTGAATCTTGTTAATTGATTGTCTTGACTGCGGAAAACGTGTTTTTATTTATATATATCTTGAAATTTCCTCGTCGTTTGGGGCCGGTGCAATGGAAATGGAGCAAACATGTTTGTTTTTCCCACGATTTGGCGCGGCCGTTTTGTGCTAATGTCGCGCAGACACGCAAATCTCACTCATCAAGATCTCAATTTGCGAATCGCGTTTTCTTTGTCGGAATCAATCCATTTCCGTTTAATTGCAATCTTTGTTCTTCGGCGAAAAAGAGAGATGGACGGGAAATAAATTAAGGGGCAGTCGAGCGGCAAATTAGGCCCAGGAACGGTGCAAGTGAGCAAAAGTGATGAATGGAAAAGCCAATTGGCTGCCAGACCCGTTTCAACCTTCAAATCCAAAGGCTCTGCGATTTTCTTTGCGGAAAAAAATTGATTCCTTCAAGTCCGCAGCGTGAATTATTTCAAGATTATCAAAAGAAATCAACTTAATTTGGAAAAGAAGCAACTTTTTGGGCGCAAAGTTGAGTTGAAAAAGTCCCAGGAAAGGTTTTTCAGTAAAGTCTAGCAAAAGAAAACAAGTAAAAGGTATTTTCATTTATTAAATTTTGAATTTTTATTAACTAATAGAATTATTTTTCCCTAAAAGTGTTTGCAATGAAATGAGAATTAAATGAAGCCAAGGTCTGTGTAAAAAATTCTTGGAATTTCCGATTAAAAAGTTATTGAGCGCCGGGAGCCCCGGGCCGAGGAGGAAAATATTTGTGGAGCTGCTTTCGTGTCAGCCGCACTGAAAGGGTCGCTCGATCGGCCGTGAAATCTACCCGGAGATGAGATTTCCCATTTTCCGGCTTTTCACTTTTCCTCACCCCGTCTCTTGAATCTCAATCATAAGAAGCTTCTTATCCCTGAATTATCTCGCATTTTTTGTTTTTAAATCCTGGCAAACAACTTATTTCTACCAAAACCTTTTCCTACGCAGCAGTAAATTTAATTTGTTTTCTCTCTCTTAAAATGTAAGCAAATCGATCGTTTCGCTCACGCAAAGTGCACGCTTTTAAATTCTAGGGCGTTGTTCTTCTCGCGCGTCTGTTTACACAATTCGCCCCTCCAAACAAAATCCATTAAAACAACACCAAATTCCTCGCAACAAAAAGGAAAAAGAGGAAGATAAATGCAAATTTCCTTGGCGGGAATTTTTTTCATAAAACCGCACCAGTTTTAAGTGGAAAATTCTTTGCCACTGTCTTGAGAAAAGACGAGGCAAAATATATATCAACAGGTCCAACCATCAAATTTCACCCTCGCAGTTTATGCAGAGAGATGAAATAACGTATTTTTTTTATCAACCTATCTTTTTTTCGCTCAAAAAAAGTGAAATTCCGGTTGATGAAGAAATCGATTGTAAAATCAATCCAGAGATACAACAAAGTAAACTTTTTCAAAAACATCTGCTATCAAGGTTGAAGGGAGATTTTTTATTCTTTCATTAAACCACAAGGGAAATAATTAAATATCCGTTTATAAAATTATTGCAAGAAAGGAGAATACAAAATTTAATGTCAAACGTTGCTGAAATAAGGAGCAAGAAAATAATTTTGCGCTCCGATTCCATTTTCACGACATCGAAAAGCGTCAAAAACAGATTTTTCTTTTTCTTTTGTGTTGACAAAGAAAACAATAATTGTTGCGAGTTGAGTGACGCGTGGCTTTTGTTGGCTGAAATTTGGTGTTATTGCCCTTTTGTCATTTTCACCGACTGACGAGAGCGAAACAACACCTTTTGCGTGAGTCGCACACAAAAGAACATTTTCATTTATTCGTTGCCAAGCAAAGCGGTGATTTCCCACTGTGCCTTTGCGCGACTTGAACAAAAGAACAAGAAAAGTTGCTCTCTGGGAATTTACATGAAAAAAGTTTGTTGCGAAAACACTCGCAGGGGACAAAATTGAATTCTCGTTTTCAAGTTTCACTCGCAGCTCTTTGTTTTCATTTCGCTGCAACAGTGGCGACTGAGGTCGACTCGGAAATAGGCAATCGACACAATCGTCCGGCGCCCCCTCCTTTTGCATAAATCGTCACCTATTTTAGGCGCGTGGAAAACACTGGCAAAATTTAAGTGACAAATAAACCCAAATCATTTGAGCGGAAAATCAAAATATTACTGAT